CCTTCTATCGTTTGGGGGCGCTGCAGCTTCAAGCAGGGCCAGCGCCTCTGTGTGACTGTGTCATGATGGATGAGTCAGGAGAAGCACTGGCTGACCGAAGAAGGCACGAATGAGTGCTGCTGCTGGATGAGTTGGTGGAGGGATATGGGCTTGACTTGGCAGTGAGTAGGGGGGATCCACCTGATTGGTTTCGTTGGGGTTGCTTGCCACGCGAGCAAATAATCGTTGGGGTTGCTTGCCTAAGCGTATCGCGTACGACGGTGCACTTATCCGGGTCGCCGAGCCCATGCACGTTACATGACAGCAAAAAAAAAAAAAAGAACGCAGAATTCATTACAAACTAAGGGACACCGAGACTCCGCGCCAATAAGCCTGCGCAGTGGAGCCCGAACCAACCAGAACAAGGGTCTGAAGGTAATCACCCATGGGCGGCAAGCCTTCAGACCAGGACTGAAGGAAAAATAGAGAGCACATGGAGAACTAAGGTGACTACGAAATAACGTACACAACAACCTGCCTAACAAAGTCTAGAACGCACTAAAACACAAACAGTGCGCGCCCGGACCAACAAACTGAGGGAGGACCTGCATTACATAGGCGGTGGCGATACTGCGTCCACGGTGGCCGCAGTCAGTCGAGCCCCCAGCAGAGCAAGCCAGTTTGCGGAGGTCAGGAATCCCAATTGGGAGCTTCTTCCTCGACAGGAGACCCCGGCGCTTGACGTGCTGCTGTTAGCCCCGGGCAAATTTAACCTGGAACCGAAAACCCAACCGAAATAACCGGAGCCGAAAAATTCGGTTTCTTGTTCGGTTCCTGATATTGAGAAACCGAAATAACCAAAGAAAATTCGGTTCCTACACTCGTGTAACCGAATTATCTGAAAGAACCGAATTACATGAATCATACTTCACTTACTTTTATTTTGTAAGATTATGTTTGGTTTATGTGTGGTGTTTTATATTTGGCCTGCTATACATTTGTGTTACTATATTGCTATTGTTTTCTTATAAATTATTATTATTAAAAATTAATATAGTGTTGCATAAATTTACGTTACAACACGTATATTTATTGTTGTCTTGAGGTCTTCTGAAAAAGTTCGATTAGAATCGGAAGCGAACAAGTCTGGCGAAGAGGTGAGCGAGTAGAGTGGCTAACTCCAGCAGTTGTGGCTACTTGAGTTGGAGCTGGGCTTGGCGGGGATGCTAGTGGTGGGTGAGGCTGAAGTGGAAGTTGCTGGCTACGGTTGAGAGGCCCATGTGGGCCCAGAAGCGGTCTGGGGCCTGCGGTGCGGGGTGACGAGGGCAGCAGAGCGTGGACGGGACGGCGCATGGCGGACAGAGGGATTGTGGGATCGCGGCGGTGTATGGTGGCGAGAGCACGGGCGAGCGGCATCATGCAGTCACGACTCCGGTGCCCCGAACCGCGGCAGTTGCGACAGCGGACGGGGTCCCGGCACTCACTGACCTGGTGGTCGGTGGCAAGGCAACGGAAGCAGCCGTTGGTGTGGGTGATGGGTTTGGGCGGCTTCGAGGGCGAGTGATTAGGGATAGAATGGCCTGAACGTAGGATTTGGGGGGCGCGGGGGAGGGTGTAGCATTGAAACAATGAAGCCGTGGGCATGAATTCATGGCTACTGGGCCGGTGGCGATGAGACATGCATTTGCCCCAGTCGTGGGCGGCAGCTAGCTTCCAGCAACTCCAGTACCGGGGAGGGCAGTTGAGGGCTTATTCGGTCTGTTTGATTGAATTTATCAGTCGACTTATCAGCTAATCTACATTATTTTTTCTTAAAAAACAATCAGCTTCAGCCGCGCCGCCCAGATGGTTGCGCCTTAACTGCACGGTCCTCAGCCGGAGGTACGAGCGCCGCACAGTGCTCCCAAGAGAAGGCGACCCTGAAGAACTAGCAGATTTGCAATATTTTGACATGACACACGGACACAAAACACACACTCGGAGACGCGGCGGACCAACAGGCGACCCGGAGGAGCAACGGCGTTGCGGATGAAGAAGATGTTGAATTTGGGCGATCTGAGGGGTGGAGTAATCCAGATAAAGGCGGGTGGGGAGGCGACCACGGTGTTGTAGAAATTGCGTAGGAGGTATTCCTGCAATCGTGCTCCAGGCTTGGCATCGTCGGGCTTGACGCGCTGATGAGCTTGCCCTCGTCGCCCAGGCGCAGCGCAGTTTGAAGCTGCTAGCAGAGGTCTAGGGGCTGGCGGCGTGAGGCCTATGGTGGGGGCGGGCGCGGTGGTGGAGGTGGTGGCTGGAGAGGGGGCTGGGGCTAGTGGAGAGGGCGAGAACCATCTGACAGTAGTCGATAAATCGATGCCGGGGCTATTGGAGATCTTTTGTGATTTTTTTTGAAAGTGTTTTGTGAATTGGACATGAATAAGAATAACATGAAACATTTCCCTGTTGACTGTTGCTATCTTCTTTTGTTGTTCTTCCTCTCTCTATCTCTATTTGCTCCCAACTAATTCCTTGACAAGATCTCTTCCCAGCTATCCAACTCAATGACAATTGGTATCTAGAGCTTTTAGTAAAATTCAAATTGGGTTGTCTCTCACGTGCTGGCGCCCCCACGGAAACACAGCAAGCTCGAGCAGCAAATGGCGGCTACTTTGAAGGATCTCGCAAAGCAGTTTGAGGGTTTTCGGTTGATAATGCATCAAACCCTCGACAAGCTTACCAGATTGGAGACATGGCGTGGAGCGCTGGACGAATCCATGGGAGCGCTGGACCAAGCGGCTGGGTCAGCACCATCGATCTCAACCAGGCTCCTCAACCATTGGCACACCCATCTAAAGCATTCGTTCTTTACCCTTTCCTATATGTACTGGAATTTCATTCATCGATGGCAATAATCGTCTGTTGTGGCGTGATCAGGGCAGTGATATGTATTTCCACGTTATGCGGCTGGGTCAGTCCAAACTCGATCTGAAATTGGCTAAAAAAACTCAACCATTGGCACAAATGTCTAAAGCATTCGTTCTTTACCCTTTCCTATATGTACCGGAATTTAAGGTCATTTGATGGTTATAATCCCAAGGTAAGCTGTTTAAGATCAGTGTGATATGTATTTCGACGTTGAGGACTTGTTTCGCGGCGGTCAATTTTCGACCATACAGTGTGGAGAAGAAAAGATAAGTAGTATGTTCGTTGAGGACTCTGCTTGCTTATCGGCGCTAAATTTTCGACTTACATAGTGTGGGAAGAAAAACTTATAAGTGAATCCAGCTGAAACGAGAAGGCTGTCTTCATATCCCACGTCATCTCCAAATCAAAAGTACACTTATATATGTAACGCGAATTTGCGTGGACGATGCATCATACATGGCCTTGTTTAGTTGGCGAAATTTTTTGAAAAATAGTATTGTAGCACTTTTGTTGTTATTTGGCAATTAGTGTCAAATCATTTTATGCTTAACTCGGTGCCTAAACCCCTAATTAGTTTTATTTTTTATTTATATTTAATGCTTCATGTATGCGTCCAAAGATTCGATGTGACGGGAAATCTTAAAAAGTTTTGCAAAATTTTAGAAACTAAACACGCACCACATGGAAATAGTCAACCGCCGTTGACAAAGCTGGAGATGGACCGTCGGTTCTCTGTGGCCTGGTTGGCAGATGAGCCGCTCAGCTGAAGATGCTTCAGCCTCTGGCACGGCACCGCATCAACGTCGACATCAATGGCGTCGAACGGTCGAAGGGACAGACGACCACGGCGGATGTGAGAGCCTTCAATGCGGAGAGTAACTGCTCCTATATCTGCTAGCTACCGGCAAAGCCGCGTGCGTGCCATGCCATTGCTCGCGCGGCCAACCAGGGTCAGGACTCAGGAGAGAGAGCCCTGCCCCGGTTTCCATGCAGCCGCAACCGTCCGCGAGGCAGCCATGTATGCCCACGGTATCGGTGGATCGATCCATCTGAGGCTCATCATGGCCTCTGCATGCAATTCGCTCTGGCTAGTTGGCTTCGTCCGTCGACTGTTCACGTGTAGTCGTGTATATGGATGCATGTCGACCTCGTCAAACTCTGGATCGAGAGATTATTGGTGGAAATCAATGCTATGGTACCATTTTTTTTTTTTTGAGCAGATGCTATGCTACCAGTTGGCCCTATTGCCGGGCACACATTATGACGTACTGGCCCGGCCCAACAGTACTGTAGTCTGTAGTTACGTTATGTGTTGCCAAACTGAATTCTTCTTTAGTTTCTCGCGAACTGGCTGATGGTTCATGAAAAATTCTCGCATACTCGCTGATGCTTCTTGCTACATGAAAATTTCGGAGAAGTGTATCTGCTCGTACAAAAAAAGTGCATGCCACGCGACGCTTGGACGTGATCATGGTCTAGAACACTGACCAGATAACTCTGATCTGCTTGCTGCAAAATGCTTGGTAGGAGTATGCTGTAGTGCCAAGTATACTCTACTTCCCAATGGTACCCGATTAAATTCTGAACAAATAAACCTGAGATAAAGGGTTGCCAAGCATTGGAAGGTTGTGCTATCTTTCATGACCGGCTGCAGGTAGTCTAATCACCTTTTACCACCACTGTACTCTCCACTTAAACACGACAACCACTAGTCTGTCTCTCTACTGTGCTAAGCTACTTCTCCTGCTGTACTGATCAATGGAGAAGAAAATTTGACGAGCAATCTTTCAAACAATCATAAACAAAGAGCAGTAGACAGCACCATGCATGCAACACTTCAATGCTCTCATTGCCTCCTCACCTGTCCAAAACGCGGCAACTCACAGGCAAGTTGATAGTCAACATTGTGGAGTGTTGACATAGCGGTAGCCTTCCCGGGCCTCACTCTTCACTCTTCAGTCTTCCCTTCAGAGAGATCGTTCCACTCCCTTCCCTATATAAGCATACGAGCTCTCCACTTCAAATCAGGCAAGATTAAGCACACTCCACCTCAGGACACACATCCACCGATCAGTGGCTAGCTGATCTGGCTAGCAGCCATTGCCACCATTCCAATCATGGCGATGGCCAGGAAGCCTACCTGTGCTCTCCCTCTCCTCCTTGTAGCCTTCCTCTGGTTGACATGCTCTGTTTGTGCTCGCTTCGACGATGACTACGACGACCCGAGGTACGGCCCTGGGGGTTTCGGCCGTGGCCCCGGCTTTGATCGCGGCCCGAGAGGCGGCTATGGACGCGGTCCGCGCTTCGGACGTGGACCGTTTGGCCGTGACTGCCGCTTTGGCCGCTGCCGCGGAGGTGGTGGCGGGCTTGGAGGCGGTGGAGGCTTCGGAGGTGGAGGTGGAGCTGGTGGCGGCCTTGGAGGTGGCGGCGGGCTCGGCGGTGGAGGAGGTGGCGGTCTAGGAGGAGGAGGTGGTGGTGGCCTCGGTGGTGGAGGTGGCGCAGGTGCTGGAGGAGGCTTTGGTGGTGGCGTCGGAGGTGGAGGTGGTGCAGGAGGCGGGCTTGGTGGTGGATTTGGAGGAGGCGGCGGCGGAGGACTCGGAGGTGGTGGTGGCAAAGGCGGTGGCTTTGGTGCTGGTGGTGGCGTCGGAGGCGGAGCTGGTGGTGGCGGCGGCCTAGGTGGTGGAGGCGGCGGCGGAATGGGTGGCGGTGGCGGTGGTGGACTCGGAGGAGGTGCGGGAGGAGGATTTGGAGCGGGTGGCGGCGTTGGTGGGGAGCCGGTGGTGGTGGCGGCCTTGGTGGCGGTGGAGGCGGCGGCATGGGTGGAGGTGGAGGTGGAGGGCTTGGAGGAGGTAAGGGTGGAGGCTTTGGAGCCGGCGGTGGTATGGGAGGTGGGGCAGGCGGAGGCGGCGGCCTTGGTGGTGGTGGCGGCGGCGGCATGGGCGGTGGTGGTGGCGGTGGGCTAGGGGGTGGTGCCGGAGGAGGATTCGGTGGCGGGGCAGGCGGCGGCGTTGGAGGAGGCGGCGGCGGCGGTGGTGGAGGCGGTGGGATGGGCGGTGGCGCCGGCGGAGGGTTCGGTGGCGGAGCAGGCGGCGGACTCGGTCATGGAGGTGGTCTCGGCAGCGGCGGCGGTCTTGGTGGCGGAGGCGGAGGTGGCCTCGGTGGTGGAGGCGGCGCCGCAGGAGGCCTCGGGCACGGCGGTGGCCTTGGACACGGCGTTGGTCTTGGCGGAGGCGGCGGCCCTCGGCATCGGCATTGGCGTCGGCGTCGGAGTTGGGGTGGGTGCAGGGGCAGGCGGCGGCGCCGGTGCGGGTGCTGGCGGCGGTGGGCGTTGATTGAGAGATCTCCGTCGACGTCGAGTTTAAAGAAGAAGAAGGTGTGCATGCAGCCATGCACGCGTGCGGCATGCGTAATGGACGGGCGATGCATGCTCTCCTTCCAAACCTGTGTATGTTCACGTTCTGCGCTGGCTGGAGTAGTTATGAATTACTCTATGATGTGGTCAAATTTCCGTTAATTTCACTCCTCTGTTTGTTGTGTAGCTAGTCTTTGCTCAAAAGAGCTTTACAAGTTGACATTATCGTCGGTGTCCAAGTGTTTGTAATAATCTATATATGCTGGGGAAAAAAGAGTCGAATGATTAATAATACAGTCCTAGTGATTTTTTTTTATGTATTCCACAAAACTGTTTGAACTTCAGTCTTCGGACTTCAGAGGATCTCCCACTCACTGTGTGTGCATAAGCAGCATGATGGTCTTTCTACGTCCCCTGCAATTTTCTGAATTTCTCTGCTTTTTAATGCTTTCTTCGGTTCTCTTGGACCTTTTTCGGAAATATTTCCGCCTTGTTTAGATACAGCGTTAATGTTTTTGGGATGTCGCATCCGATGTTAATCCGGGAAGTAGTAGCTTTGATTGGACGGCCCGTCAACTGGTCAGATTGAATGACTCCGTGCACATGGACATGCACGGCGGCACGCCGGCGGCACAGGGCAGGGAAGCTGCTTGAGGCAGCTGATCGAGGGATCAGGATCAGGCATTCATACTGCATGGTCCATGCAGCGGCTGGGCCGGTAGGCGGTCGTAAATGCTTGGCCGCTTGGGAATGGGATCCTATCGTCGATCGCCAACCACAGTCATCGGCGGTAATTAACAGTTTCCTGCCCACGAAGCAAACCGGAGACAACGCCGGCGGCTGTACACTGATGGATGTTCTGCCATTGACGCTGTGATCGCAGCATTGTGCCTTACTGCCTTTGGCTCCTTCATTTCCAGTTCCAGCCGTAGATCTGGCTCTTGGCAGGCCTCTGCTTTGTTCCTCCTATAACATGTTTAGGCATTGTGCAGTATATTCAGTGATTCAGTTTAGGCATATATATTCATAATAGCATGTTTAGGAATATTCATAATAACATGTTTCGACTTTAGTGTTTTAATGTCAACTTCAATTTTCAGTTTTTGTGTCCAGCTGTGTTCAGTATCAAGTTCTCAACTACATTTCTTTCATATGTAACCTTTTCCGCAAGTTGGTGTTAGCGCACTCATATACGAGTACCGGAAGAACTCACGCTAGGACACTCAACTTTGCTACCGTGCGCGATTGCACGTTCCAACGGCCATATACTGTCAAGGACGAGCGTAAATACAAAGAATCGTCACGTATTCGTGTCATCTGCCTTCTCTAGATCTCTTTGATTTAGGCACATATTCAACAAATCAGCTTATGTACCGTGGATTCTATAAACTAGCTAGGAGTCGTTGAAAGCACCGGCTTGGCTTCACTCATGCATGTTCTCCTCGTGTAGATGACATTAAAAGAGGTGAATGCCGCCGCCATCTCTTCAACATCTTGCAAGATTATCGCAACCTCCGACCGGTGTATACCCCTGTTTTTTTTTATCTCATACTCGGCCCTCGTGGCCTTGTATTAATAGACGTGAGCTCAGCCAAATCGCGAGCTACCGTGTCAATTACAAACTTTGGGAGGGGGTCACTCCACACCAACGATTGACCCGGGTCCCAACTCAAAGCTACCTTAGCAATCTCGTGCGCAGACGAGTTTGCCAGAGCGAGACCAGCTCCTGGGCATCCGTTTCCGCAGCAATGTGGTCCTGAGTGCTTCCCGCTTCCACCAGAAGAGCCGTCAGCCATCGAGCAGAGGCTACACGGAATCTGCCCGCAGTGCAGCGCACCACCGCGCCTACTGCACCGATGCATGTGTCCTGTGTAAACGCGCCATCGATGTTGACTTTCAGAGTTCCTTCCGCAGGTGGTCTCCTTCCCCCGTCCGGAGCTTCACTGCCAATGGATAGATGGAAGCAGGGCTTTGTTTAGATTGGGTTAGGAATTAGTATTTGGTATCGTAGCATTTTCCTTATTGTTCAATCATCCGGCTCAAAAGATTCACAATCAAACCAATAATTAGTAGATTTGATGTGATGAAGAGAGAGTGAAAAAACTTGCAATCTAAACAAGGCCTCTAGCGCCCAGTCCACTGCCAGTCCTGGCTCGATTGGAGACTTCCCATGCCGGTGATCATTTCTGTTGTTCCACAGTGACCACATTCCTCACAAGATTATCTCACGGTCTTCAGACTTGCAGTTAGCATTGTCCAGCAAATCCCAGGTCCTTGGTTCAGCCTGGGATTTTGATGCCCGTGAGCTGTTTCAGGTTTTTCCCAAAACCTGATGGCAAACGTGCATTGTGTCAAGACATGGTACGTGGACTCCTCTCTGCCGCACAAGCCGTAGGTCCCTGTAGCACCTGGTTTCAATGATAAAATCAGATACACATCAAATCTTAGTCTAGGAAGTCAAATCTCATATATAGCTACAAATAAGAATAATATCAAAAGACAATGCTCAATATATAACGTACTTAGTATAAAGGATATAACCTTAGACAGCAAACAACGGAAAGACAACTCCGATCTTCGGATGAAGATTCTAATTTCACAGCGACAACTGACTGGTTGATCACAAACATAATTCATCCAAACTCTAGCAATCTGGTACCCATCCGGAATTTTTATCTAAATAATTGAAAAGTAAAGCAAGCTTAAGTACATGTCATACTCAACAAATATAATATGGGGTTCATGAGGCTCAAAAGACTGACACTGGTTTAATAGTATTTAGCTTTTAGTTGTCATAATTTTAGCAATTGAGTAACAACAAGTTTATCACAAGCCCATGTAAATATATGATCAGGTAAACATGAATAATGAATAGCATAAACAGTAATTATTAGTGAGCATCTTCGTCATCCGTATTATTAGTGTTCATCATCTATTCCATAAGGGTCAAATGCCTCTCGTAACTATGAGCACGGCTGATATACCAGTTTTACACTCTACAGAGGTTGTACGCTTTCACTGTGAGTCGTGATTTATCCTTTCGCCCGATGTGGTCAATCTCTTGACCCACTACCAAGGAATGTCGGCAAGTTTCACTATGAAGCCTTTTAAAGGTTCGTCTAACAAGTTAGGACCATTAGATTCACTCGGCAAATAGATATAGAGCCTCCCTTCCCGATAGCACAATGACGCGTAGCCTATACACAAGGGGACAGATGCCGCACTATACCCGATTCGACAAGCCATTCTTACGCTAATAAAGGTAACCACTAACAAGCTAGAAAATATTCTCATACTAAGCTAAAGCCAGAGCCATGTAACCCTCACAGTTATAATGTAAGTCCCGTATGTTTGCTTACAGATAAGTCCTTAGGAAGAGAAATCTAGAGCACCATAAAAATAGCCCAATGCTCTAGCCCCCTGATTCCATGTTGCTAAAAAGTATCTTTTAGTATTTATTGCATATACCATTAGTCAAGTTACAAGATCATGGCTTCAGTTAAGCACTAGCATCATACTACCCAATGCAATTCCCCACAGGTGACAAGGAATCCAAGATATCAAGTAGCTACAAAAATTTACTACGGTTGTCGAGGTAGACACATACAATATGAATTAAATTATTAAAGTAAATAGGACAACAAGAAAGATCTCATGCTATACTTGTCTTAAACTTAGATCCTTCTTCCAATCCAAATCTTCAAAGATCTGCTTCTTGATTCACCACGTATAGCTCACCGACTAGACATGATCATATAGCACCACACAAACATCAATGCAATGATACACGAAGCAAACGATATATCTAAATTAGAACAGCACAACAAACATAATAAACAGTAAGTAAAAATGTTTTAAAGACGTTCTACATGTTACTACGAACACACAAACGCAAAAAGTACGCTAATCGGAGCTATAACGAAGAAGTTATGAATTAAACAAGATTTTTTTTAATAAAATAATATATTACATCTAACCTCAAATTTCAAAAGTTAAAAATATATTTAATAGTAAGATAAACATGTAGATTACACAATTACGAATCTAACGTAACTTGAACGGGTCAAATAGGACTTAAAACGGAGGTTTTATGGCCTAAATAAAACTAGTGGCAAAACTATAAATAGATGAAAGCGTATTTTGGATCTAACTGAAGAAACTACGTTTTCAGAAAAAGAAAGCGTATTTTGAATCTAATGGAAAGAAACTACGCTTTCTAGAAGAGAAAACGTATTTTCGAAAGGTGCCATGGACTGCGGGTTGGATAATAAGAAAAGCGGGGGGCTCTTTTGCAAATTTCGCAGCGAAGGGGTACGGTCTAATCCTGGACCCTTGATCTTAGATTGAATGGACGAAAATAGATCACAGAGGGAGAGGGCGGTTGGCGTGGCCGGCGGCGGGGGACATGGCCGGCGGCGATGAGCACGTCGGCAAACACGAAACCGGCCCTAGAGGCCACGGCTAGACCCAGGGATAGCACGGGAAGATAGAGGGTGGCGATGCGAACTCACCAAGGTGGATTTTGACGGCATGGAGCAGGTAAAGGCGGCGCGTGGTGCTCGGCGGCGGACGGCGAGACACGGCTAGGGTTTTGCGGCGACTCGGCGAGGAGGCTACGACTCTAGAGCTTAGGATAGGAAGGCACGGCTCGGTCGGCTGCTATTTATGGCCCAGGAGATTGCTTGGAAAGCACGGCAAAGGAAGGAGGCATGGCGGACGCGAAGTCCATGGCGGCGGCGGTGGAGTCCTGAGCGGACGGAAGGAAGGAGACGGCTAGAGGTGGGAGAAGACCGACAAGCGGGTCCCATTGGTCAGCGAGTAAAGGCGCGGGTCGGCTGTCAGTGGCACACGTGGGAGAGAGGAAAGCGGGGCGGCACGGGCTTAGCTGGGATCTGCTGCGTGTGTGGCTGGGCCGAGGAAATGGGAAGCGAGCTGGGCTTTAGCGTTGGACTAGGCCGCCTGCCGAAAAGGGGCCACGGC